TGGATTTGGATGGGACGAGGAGGTTTTTTGATGGGTTTTTTGATTTGGATGCGTTTTATTGGGAGGGGTTTTTGTCTTCTAGTTTGTCTCTTTCGGAGCTGGCTATGTTGAGTTTGTCCATGTTTGGACATGGCTCTACCATGTCTAGGGTTGATATTCTCACTAAATGCCCTCTTCCTCTTGTGAGAATGGTGGCTAATCTTGCCCTTCAATCCATTCGATGAATCATCACTAATCTTTATAACTTCAGAATGCCAAGCTCTAATGTATGAATACTCGTCGAAATATTCAATAGTTCTTTAGGTTTTCTTTCTGGTAAAAATTTTAATAGTGGTCAACTAAAGATAAGCAGTAATGACGTGTAAACACCTAAGTGTGTTTAAACATGATATTGTAATCTTTAAATTTTTTATGAAAAGACATTTTAGGTTCTTTGTTTGTTAAAAATTTTTAGTGAGTTATTGTTAATAGAAATGTGAGTTATTGTTAATAAAAAATTTTTGTGTATTGGTTGAATGATTATGATGCAAATCCAACCAATGATCAAAAAGGAAAGTAAAGAAGATTCAAGAGGCTTTCATATTACATCTTCAAAGTCTGGCTAATGAAAAGAGAAGACGAGATTGTTGGGCCAAAATTTTTTTTACAATGTTACTTCAATGAATCAAGAAGAGAATGGAGTAAAGATGACACGAAAAAAGTTGTCTATTTTTAGAGATGACACGGAGGACAGAAAAAATGTACAGAATTGTGAATAGGTGCTAGCTTGCAAATTGCATCTCTTAGGAGTTTGTGAAGTCAAAACTTGTCAAACCTCATCCAATGAAACGCCTTCTACATTAGATTTTTCATACAATTTAAATTCATCATACTTTTTTTGTTCAGCATTCAAGCGCTATATTGATGTGCAATCAAGTTTTAATTTGCATGTCTTATTTTATTCAATTTGCATCAAATAGGGTTTTGAAAGACTTTTGGTATATCCTTGCGGAACGACCCTTTGGCTTATTTAAAGGCTTGTAATGACCTTGTTATGGCATATTTATGACATTGAAATCAATAACTTTTGTTCCTTAATACATTTGGTGTTATTTCTTTCAAATATTGCTTTTAGGTTTGATATTAAACTGATTCATTGGATTAGTCTCGATTAAGTTAATCCTGAAGTGAGTCATCTTAGCATCTAGGAGTGATCATCATAGATTCTAGGTTTGATCTAAGAGTGATTCATCTTCGCTAACCTTACTCTTGGTTAGAATCATTCGGTCGGTTAACTGTTTTTGTGAAAGTTTACAAAGATCTTAGAATGTCCTCTAGCTTTGTAAACTTGAGAAACCTTGGCGCTTATCAAATTAATGGCTTGAATTTTTTTTTCTTTTTTTTTTTTGCTAACGTAAGCTTGGCGCAACGGTATATTTTAATCAAGAGGTTATAAGTTCGAATTTCCCTACTTCACTCGTTATACTAAAAAAACAAACTTAGCACAATTTATATTTTTCATTTGAGTGAAATAAAAGGTTCCTAACATAACTACAGATCTTTATCTTAGTATGATTTCAATCATGTTTATATTGTTTAAAATTTTTATTTTAAACTTTTTTTTAAAATTGTTTCAAAATAATCAACTCATCGGCTTTCTCATCCAAGATAAAAATTTGGTGGGTGTCAAATTTAACAAATAATAATTCATACTTGAAAATCAAGTTTAGATTGTAGTGGTGATGAGTAGGGTTAAATCCATATGAATTGGTTATTGATTTATTCATCAACATTTAAATTTGGGGTTCTTAGAAATTATGATCCGAAAATAAGAGTAGATAATATATAGCTTCAACATTGACTTTTGGATTGATCTTTGTATTCAAAAGTTAATTTTCTTTTATCTTTAATTATAGTTATTAGGAAACTTTGTCCAAGCGAGTAAAATTTACCGATAATTGACATATATCTTTGATCCCCACTCCAAATGTTGTAAAAAAAAAGTATTAGAAAGTCCTAACAACCCATCAGTATTTAGTTACTCAAAATATGAAGTAACAATAAGTTGAAAAATTAAGCTTTTCTCGCTAGAAAGTAAAATTATTAGAAAGTCAAAGAGCGATGTCAAGAATAACATCTCAAACGAAGCCACACTAAAAGAAATACGTTCGCATAGAAAAACATTTGGAACTGTGCTAACTTTGGGAGGCTTCAAGGGAGGGGTGAAGATAGAAAGAATTACAAAATATACTTTCATATTGAATTTCTTGTTTCATCTCGATACAAACATATAATTCCTAATCATTATAGGAATAAAACATCTAAATCGAAACAATATATGAAATTAAATGTTAAATTCAAAATCATATCAAATCGATTCCTAAATCATATTAAATCAATTCCTAAATAGAATGTAATGGAAACTTCAAAAGCCATCCACATTACATAACCAAACTTGAAATTAAACTCAATTTGTGAAAACATATATCTCCCATAAAAAAAATCATGTTTCAAATTCCCACAAAACTATAAAAAACATTTAAGAAAAAAAAATCGTAATTTAACCTTTATTTAATTAATTTTAAAATAAATTAAAATATTTTATTTTTATCTAATTACGAAGATTTTACCTTGGAGTCAAAATTCTCTCTCATTCGCAGGGACGCGAAAAAAGGAAAAACCAAAACAATCAAAACAGGAAGAAGAAAAGTATGGCAGAAGCAAGCATAGTCGAAGACAGAACTCCCTTCGTCTTTCTTCTGAAGAACTAAACAAGTTTCGTTTTCATCTCCCTCCGATTTTCATCCAAATTTCAGTTCCTATTCTACGTTTGATTCCGGAAGATTTAGGGGATTGACTGAAATAATCGTATTGTGATCGATGAGGCCGATACGGCTGCGAGAGCCAGACCCACCGAGCCCTACCCCCGCCGAATCAGAAATCTTCGAAGGCGGCGTTTATGGCGTTATTAGGCGGGCGGTTGTCATCGGCAACGGTTCTTCTGGGTCTGAGAATCAGTGTATCGGTTTGGTTCAGGCGCTTGGCTTGGCTGACAAGCATGTGCTCTACGTAAGTTCTGTGGATTTATCTTTTTCGAGGGTTAGAAGTAGTCAAATTGTTGTTGGGAATGAAAATCATTGAACTTTACTGCTTAATTGGGCGGTTATTGCTTGAGGAATGCGTCGTTATTGGTTGTGCATTTCGTTACTGCGAATACGGGGATGGGTGGTGGCTACGGGATAGGTGTTGCATTCATTTAGTAGTAAGAAACAACTTTCGTATATCCCCACCTTTGATGACCTTAGAAAATCCATAAACCAGAACTGCTCACAACCTTTTTTCAGTATTTTAGGGCTTGTATAGTGGAATCTCAAGACTAACAATTTGCATTTTATATGTGCCTCCATCACTTGCAGCGGGTTACAAGGCCCAGAGGAGGAATAAATAATTGGCTCCACTGGCTTCCGGTTTCTCTTCACAAAAAGTTAGATTTTATCATGACCCAGTTAAGTGTTTACGCTCGGTTTTTGTTGCGATCAAAAGGGAGGAAACTTATGCCTATATCTTCAGAAAATGGTGGAAGTGCGGGCTTGTCATGCATTTTAGAAGCTGACTTAAAGCATATTGTATCAATGGCCCGGGAGACTTATGAAAAGTAAATTCGTTTTCCTCGTATCTTTACGGAGACTTTGATTATCAAACTTGATTTATAACGTCCTTTCCATGCCTAGTGCACTAGTGGAACAATGTGATTTCTGTAGGTTTAGTTTTTGACATGCATCTACTTGGAGTTTAAAAATTTTCTAGATCTGCCATAAATTAAGCATTTTACTAAAATAAAAACATCTGAACTTGTATTAAGCCATTTCAGTTATATTAGTTTTTCAAGCCTGTTATTATATCAAATAAATGCTATATATAAGGATATTATCTCATAGAATTATGTATCCATCCTATGATGTTTTCAAGCATGGATGCTTTTATAAGATGATTAAGTTGATATTTGATATTTAGGAACAGAATCCTAGTCCTCCTATCCTACAGTAGCCAACTTTCGTTCTTCATTTTTGTATAGTCTCCCATTCGTTGGTGCTTACCCTTTGATAAAAGTAAAATTTTCTCTGCTATAAAATATGTTCTTGTTATTAAATTTTATAAGTTCGAAACTGGAAACTTTCCTTTCCTTTTATAGCTTTTGATTATAAAAAGTTTGTTTTCTTATTAGAAAGAATCATGTATGATAAATGTTTGTTACCTTCATTCTTCATTTTTGTGTAGTCCCCCGTGCTTACCCTTTGATAAAAGTAAAATTTTCTCTGCTATAAAATATGTTCTTCTTGTTTTTTCTTTTTTTCTTTTTGGATAAGAAACTGCTCTATCATTGAGTTCTTCTTGTTAAATTTTATAGGTTCGAAACTGGAAACTTACCTTTCCTTTTTGACCTTTTGATTATAAAAAGTTTGTTTTCTCATTTAGAAAGAATCACGTATGATAAATGTTTGTCTGTCTTTTTCCAGGGATGGACCTCTATTGGTGGTTGCATCTGGCAGGGATACCATAACTATTTCAAGTTCCATTAGACGCTTGGCATCGGAGAAAGTTTTTGTTGTGCAAGTATGATAGTGATCCTTCTTTCTAATATTTCATTTGTTGTTTGTATTTGGCTAAAGGATATTTTTGGTGACCATTATGGAGTTTGGATAAGAAACAAGGGACTATATAAAAACAAAGGAAAGGTACATCCCATAGGCCTAGGGTAGCTCCTTTGCCAAGATGAAACCTTTACATTAGCTCTTCCATATGGTCTAACATTTAGATTCTTGGGTTATTTTTGGTTATTTGCAATCTAGATGGTCTAATTTCTTGTAATTTTTCTTCTTTTTATGGGAGTATATCTTTTCTCTTTTTCTTGCAATATCTTTGTAAACATAAACTTTTTTTAATATTTTAAGAAATTCAGGTTCTTGTTGGTTGTGTGGGTGGCTAGGAGCATCGTCTCCTTGTCAAATCTTTCTTGTCGTGGAAAATTTTACTATTCTAACTCCATGTTATGGATAGAAAAGTGTTCTATTGAAAGAGGAAGCTTCATAGAAATTACGGTGGAAAAGTTCTTTTGCAAGCTACCTCTCTTTGCAATTCTATATAATATTTGGTTGGAGAGGAGCAAGTGGGTTTTAAGGGAGTTTTGGAAGGAGGTTTGCAACTTGGCAAAATCACTAGCTTTGGATGTTTTCATCTTTCATAATTATCCTTTTTCCTTTTTAGATAAGAAACTTGTATATTCCAGGAAAAAAAAAACCAAAAGGAGACAACCTAGGGGCTGGGGTAGAGGGAACTCCATCCGAAAGGACTAAACAACCGCTTTCTAGTTGTTCATGACCATGGAAAGGTTGTAATTACAAAATAATTTTCTATAATCGATGTACCAGCAGAGGTAGAATACCGTACATTTCTACAATAAAATGTCAAAAGTAGAAGACTTGTCTTTGAAAACATGAAGATTTCTTTCCAACCAGAGATGCCATAAAAGGGCTCTCGAAGCACAATTCCACAGAAACCTAGCCTTTTGAGGGAGATTCGAACCGTGAAGAACTTTAGATAACCACCCATCTATTTGATTAGGGAAGAACGTCGACACACTGAAGAGGTACAAGAGAAAATACCAGCCCCGAGCCGCAAATGAACAATGAATAAAAGGGTGGTCGATGGTCTCATTGCTAGCCAGGCGTAAGTTGCGAGGGAGTTAGCATCCATCTGGTGCACTTCTTTTGGAAAGTCTCATGAGCTTGTGACCATAGAAACACCTTAACCTTCTTTGGAGTTGTAAACCTCCAAATCGATGGAACGACGAGGGATTTCAAGGAAAGGTTGCACTCCACCATCTTCAAGCAAGCTAAACGAGTAGAAAACATCCCCCCTTTGCCTATAGACCAACAAACCTGGTCCTCTCCTTCTCGTAGCCGCACCACATCAATTATCCTTTTTTCTAAAGCTTAACAATTTGAGCTTATCTTTCTGTTTTTAAGCTTTTTTATTGGGTCTGTGTTTTGTGTGTGACTCATAATTTTGCCTTTATTTATCTTACTTGAAGTTGGTTTATCCATTTAAAATAAGAAGAAATTATTTTTTTTTTATAAGAAACTTTCATTAATCACAAAAGAAAGATACAGCGAACGGGCTGGGGTAGAGGCAACCCCACCCAAAAACTAGACCAACTCTTTCCAATTGTTCATGAACAAGGAGAGGTTGATATTACAAAAGAATTTTCCGTAATTAATGCACTACCAAGAAGCAGTGTGCTGTACATTCCTACAAAAAATGTCAAAAGGGCTGATTATATCATCGAAGACCCGAGAGTTCCGTTCTATCCAAAGATGCCATAAAAGGGCTCTTGAAGCACACTTCCAAATCAAGTTAGCCTTCTTTGGAATCATCCACCCATGGAGAATTTCCACCAACTAATCGTCAATATGTTTTGGGAAGCATGTCGCCACCCCAAAAATATTCAAAAGGAAATGCCATCCTCTTGCCGCGAAGTGGCAGTGAGAAAAAAATATGATCAATGGTTTCGCTACTTTCATTGCAAAGGCTACAAACTGAAGGGGACATCACCCAGTTTCTGCACTTCCTTTGGAGTAAGTCATGTGT